ATATATATATATTATAGGATAACTGTTTTAACTACCCCCTCCCACAACATGCACAAGCTCATCTTTCATACTTTCTTGTGTGGAAGTCTAATGATAGAATAAAATAAAAATACTTGGAGTGTGAAGTTGATTTTAGTACCCAAGACTTAATTATTTCTTTTTTTTTTTAAATGTGTTTTTTTTGTTTTTTGTGCCTCTGAGAATGTGACACATTCACCATCTTTGCATTTTTTTCAGGATGGTGCATTGCCCATTTCTGCAAGTCTGTCTACAGTAAAGATTCACATTGAAAATGATTCATTAGCCCATCAGACAAGAAAGGATATTAAAAATGTGTTGCATTGCTGAGACAGTCACGCATATATATATATATATATATATATATATATATATATATATATATATATATATATATCTCAATAATTGTCTATTATCAGTAGTAAAAGGATAAGTATGTAAGCATCTGTTAACTTGTGGGTAGTTAAGGACTTCAATTAACCCTCCTTTTGTCCCACCCTGGCTATTTTTATCACTTTTATTTTTACTGGCACAGGTCTTAGAAATTAAATGCTTGTATGAATCTTATAAAAAAAAAATTTCTAAGTTGCTGATATACTCTACCTGTGTTAAAAATAAACAAAACTTTGTTGCATTTTCATATAAAAATACTAAGGAATTATAATTTGACCCCAAAAATTGTTTTTGCAAAAAATTATAACAAAAGAAAATAAATTTAAATAAATAATATACATATATATAAAATGTATGACATATGTACTATATATATATATATATATATATATAACATAAACAAATATGCATCCATTCTGGTTTGTTATTCCACATCAATGAATTTGTTTTCTGATTATATAATCAGGTATTTTTCCCCAGAAACAACAAATAGTAGTTATGTGCAAAAATTTCTTGTGATTATTTTTGTTTAAACCAGATATGATGTCATAACTGGTGTCAAAAGTTGAATGGTGATCTAATTTTTACTTCTAAGGAAGGAAAAATAGTTTTCATGTTAAAAAATGCAATTTTAATGAATTTTCAGGTTTATTTACACTATTTACATTGTTCAGAGTGTTGTTCTCATCTTTGTTGCCATGTTCACAACATTTCAGCCATCTTCAGGTGATTGGAATTTTGAACTGAACCCTTTATTTCATCCACTGGGGTAAATTATTCTAGTTCCATGTGCCATGCCTCTTCCGGATGTCTCAGTATCAGTTATCTCCCTTTAACTCAACTGTACAAGTTTTTTTTTTTTTTGTTCACCTCAGCTGTAGCCAGGTATGAAACTCACAATTCTTAGGGTCAAGTCACTGGATTCAACCAACGCTTTTATCCAATGGGTCATGTGTCCTTGAGGAAACGTCCTGAATATGGCAACAAAGATAAGGATAACAGTCTGAATAATGTAAATGGTGTAAATAATTACAATATTACTATCTCAGAAATATAGACAAATTTTTAGGTTTGTGTCACTTTTGGAGTATAGTGTAAGAGGTGAAATTATGTGTTTGGATGGGATTGGTTGTTAGGTACAGTCTTAGGTCTGTTGAAATTGTACTAGTGTGTTTTCATTTGATAATTGTTAATTGAAATGAGTAATAAAAAGTAAATCTTTAAATGTCAAGTTTGTTTTGATCAGAGATATGACACACTGTCAGATGGAGGTGACAATGACACCTGGGATAATCAGATCAAATGAGTGTGAGCTTCCAGAATATGGAAAATTGATTTTGATTAGTTTGCCAATGAGAAAAAGGCTGGGATAGAACTTCTTGTCTTCCCCTCTGATACATATGACACAAGATCCTTATTTTTATTGGACCACCAGTCATATTGCATTACTGGGGGCTCTCCTTCCTCCCTGTTGATGCATTATTATTGGCTAGGCAATCAGAGCAGTGCAATTGGGGTTTGCACTCCCATAAACGCAGTTGCTGAAAGAGCAGAAGTCCACCTCAAGTAAACCAATGCTCTCACTGCTGGATGACCATGGTGCCTCAATAAAGTCCTGTTCTCTATGCCTCGCTTTTTGAACTCCCTCAATCAGCTGCCCTCATTTAAATAGTTGAATGACTCTGGGCTGTTTAGCCATAACTGCAACCAGCAGTCAACCTCTTCCTCCCAACTCAAGAATTCCTTATACTTGGGGTCTTGGGTAGGGAAACTTCTTCAAAATCCTTTTGTTTATGTATTTATGATCTTAATCATAGTACCATAAATAAAAGTTGTTATTTTTACAGTTGTTAATGAGTGTTGTTGAAGTTAATTAAGGCTACTGACAACACTGGTGACCTTAGTCTTTCACTAACGTAGCCAGGACAGAGAGGAGTTAAGCCTGATCATCAACAGTTCTTCACTGATATTCCTGCAGATACTGAAACCAAATGTGGGGATGCAAGGTTGGTGTGGAGCAGGCTTGCAGGAGACGGACTAAAGCAAGCATGGCATTCAGCAAAGCATGTAGCAACAGGGCCACATAGAGAGTGAATACACAATGGAAAACTATTTTTTTATATTTTGCTGGAAACTTTTGCACATACCTAATAATATTGTTGTTCCATTGTTAAAAGTGTTGGTAATATTTAAATTATATAGTGCATTTGATCAAACAACATTATGTTGCTAGCCAATGAATTTTAGATATCTGGAAAATAAAAAAAGGAAACATAAAAAAACACACATCAGTTCTTGCAGAATTCAGATGTTTTTGCTGTTTGTTATTTTCTTGTATTATTCTTTTTCAATGTTTTTCTTTCTTTCTCAATAGAACATGGAGATCAATTGAGAAGCTGTCCTAAAATTGTTCCGTTGTCAATCCATTGAACTCTGGAACCTCTAAAGAGAAAATTATCTTAGAAGGATGTGTCCACACCATTCTATTGTTTTTGTTTCTGGGTTTGTCCAATCGGTCTCCTTTCATTTCTACCATGAAGAAATAAAATATAGAATTTTTTTTTTGTTTTGGTTTTGCGTTTTTTTCTTTTTTCGAGATCATATATTTTTCTTCTCATTTTATTTTCATTGTTTGCTGTCCATATGCAGTCAAATTGGCACCAATATAAAAAAAAATGTTATTGTTTAAAAAAGGAAGAAAAATAAAGAAAAGAGTAGAACAATAAAGAGAATATATATTCACTGCACAGTGGTAACAAGTTACAACAAGCATCCCACTGAGTGAATTAGCAGTGACTTGAATTAAAAAAAATGACTATATTTTTTGTTTGCACTCTCTCTTATACACACACATGTAAAACTATGTACATATAACTGTATGTGTGTGTGTGTATATATATATATATATATATATATATATATACACACACACACACACACACATACACACACACTCATGTATACAAATGCTGACTCATTGAAGTGCATATTGAAAAAGTGTTGATTGGCCAGTGTTCATTTTTTGGCAAAAGATTTTCCATTCTCAGTTAAGACAAGAGAATGCACTGAAAAAAAACAAAAAAAAATCAAAATTAAAATTTGGAAACATTTTAAATTCTCATAAAAATGACAGAGTAAAAAAAAAATTCAGAATTTCATTTTTTTTAACTGTTCAAAAGCCCAAGAGTCACTCAAGGTAGAGGGTTACTGAATGAGATTGTTCTATGAATTAAGAGAGGTTAAGATTATAGTGATCAGGGATTCATCCTCTTGGGAGCCTGTTCCACAAAGTATCAGTTTTGGGGAAAAAGCTGCCTAAGTGAAACTTTCTTCTTACTAATGGAATATGAAGGGAATGGGGATGATTTGTCCCAGTATATCTGGCATGGTAGATTTTAGCTGTGAAGGTCTGAATGGATGAAATTAACAAATATAACTCATCAGAACATTTGACATGGAAATATCAATAGAGTAGTGAGAGGCTTGTGATGTTTTATCTGTAGGAAGTGGTTTCTTTTATGAAGGTAAAAGATTTGGCAGGATTTATTTTCATTTATTGGCCTGAATATTTAAGAATTCTTATTAAAGAAAATATGAACTCTCTAGCAAGATTCAAACCTGCTTCCTCCTTGACAAGGGAAACCGTCATTAAATCTGAAATGGATCATCTACTAAAATATGGGTAAAAATAACATTTAAGTAATAAAACTTGTCAGATTAATAAATAAAAATTCATCACTTCTTTAGAAATAATATATTGTAATAAACTGGAATTCTTAAACATTGTAGTTGAATCAAAATGCATGTGATCTATTTCAACAATGTTTACTGATATTATCAAAAGATATTTAAGTTATTATGCAGCTGCATTGCTTATATATTCTGTACGCATCAGATGCAATGTCTGTTAATATAGTTGGCTTGGATGTTCAGATGGTTCAGTGTTTACTGGCCCAGAGGAAGAAATTGATGAGCAGAGTTTGAATTTCAGTCAGATTCATTACATTCACTTTTGCACAAATACCCTTGATAAGAGTATGAATCTGGCTATTCTCTCCTCAGCAATGAGTTAAATAGTAGGATAGACTGGTTTCTTCAGCCTTGGTTGGCAACCAGTCTAGAAGAAAAATTTTGAATTGCCAAATCCAGGTAGATAGAACTCATTAGCATGGGAACACAGTTGTCTGATGAAAGAAAAATCACAACAGAAAACAAACCTTCCTCAGAGTAGAGAATTAAGTGTAGGGCCAATCATTCTATCCAGTGAAATAATTCAATTACAAAAACCTCATCAAGAGTTCTTTTGTGCCACGACACCAGGCAGATACTTAAAAATATAGTAACTTAATTGTTACATGTAAGAATTGTCACAATCCAAATGCAATTTGACAAATGAGTAATTCTTGGAAACAAACTATAAACCTTTATTGTATTATAGTTAGATTATTATTTAAATATTTTCATGGGAAATTTAAAGAGAAATGGCCTATTGGTTTATAATCATTTGTTATTACATGTATAGAAGTGTTAAAAGGTTAGAACAAATTATATTGCTACAACATTCTCGAATCATCTTACCAAAGCCAATGTCACAAATTGGTCCGCCGAGAATTATCAGATGATGGCCAGAGATTAGTAAAAGATGCACTGTCCAAACTGTTTAGAAACGAGTCATTGTCCAATGAAATTACATCATCGTTCTGTTCCTGAAAAAGAAACAAAATAAACATTTAAAATAGGTACCTTCAAAAATTTTCTAAAAAAAGAGCATAGCATGATGAAGAAGGCCCCATACTTGATAAAAACAAAGTTTTATCATCAAAATGTTTGTTATCATTAAGAGGAAAGACCAAAGTATTTTTTGATTACTTTATTATTCTATGAATATAGAAGGATGAAGTATGAAGAAGAGATTAGGAGAAGAGATTTTGTAAGAAAGATAACAGTTGACCCTAGACATGAAGAGGTTAAGATTATAATGATCAGGGAAGCATCCTCTTGGGTGTCTATTCCACAAAGTATCAGTTCTTGGGAAAAAGCTGCCTGAATGAAACTTTCTTCTTACTAATGGAATATGAAGGGAATGGTAAATAATATTTGTTTCAAATCAGGTTAATTATACTTTAAATCAGCTAATATTCCTCAAATAAAGTTTCAGAAAAGTATATTTTATTTTTGGAAGATTTTTTAATGAAGAGAATTACATTGCAATGAAAGATGATAAAAAAGGGTGCTAAATTAAATTTGAAATTAAAACTAAAATAAAAGCTTCAAGAAAAATTTTTGATTTTTAAAAATTCATTTTAGACTTTAGGTATCACATTTTTTTGTGGAGGTTCTTAATTTAAATGAAAATGTAACAAGAACCAAACAAACAAAAAAAGAAAAAGAAGGATAACATATTTTCTATCATATAAAGAATAGTTTCATTTTTTTTTCTAAAAATCATCTTGTAGGTTATACCACAACATTTAGGTAACCAGTACAAAACAAACACTTAAACATTCTTGATTATTCCAGAATTAAATAGATATGATTATAAATAATTAAATTATGATTACAAATCAAAATAATATTAAAATATAAAAAAATATTACTAACCACACCCATTTTGACACACTTGCCTCCAGAATTAAAAAATTATTATATATAAGTGGACATTGAGGTCAATACCCAGAAGATCTATTTATATATGCTGGCAGATGGTGTATTATGGGTAGCAGGTTTATTGTATTATCCTAATGGTTATTGGCTAGGCGATAACAGTTATGTTCCAAATTATTCTGTATTATTTCTACTCAATAGCCTGTAGAATAATATGACTAGCATATATAAATAGTTGAGCTAAAACCCAACACACATGGCCTGAAAATTGTGTTTAAGCTTCAAACAGTCTGTTACCACTGGGTGTTGACCTAAATATCTACTTTTATATTTACATAGGCTCTATCTCTGATATTGAGCACTTCACCCCACAAATTACACCATAAAACTCTCTCTCACCTCTCTCTCTCTCTCTATATATATATATATATATATATATATATATATATATATATATATATATATAATAAGTGGACATAGTCAACACTTAGAGGTGACAGTCTGTTTCATGCTAGATGCAATTGTCAGGCCACGAGTGCTGTTATTTTTCTTGGCTATTTATATATATGGGTCAGTGGTGCATTCTGGGTAGTCTATTTTGGCAGTTATTTTACTGGAAGTTGTTTATTTGTTTATTTGGATTAAATTATTTTGCTTGTTTTTATTTCTTATCTTAAATATTTTTTTTTTTTTAATCAGTGTTTTTATTAACGTAGTAAAAAATTTGTTTATATCGCTGATTTAATAGTTTTGTTTTGGCTTAGGAAGATAAAGCTATTTATTCAATTTTGGAGTTGATTGTTGTAGTTTATTTTAATTTGTTTATTACTTCATGTATTTATTTGGATTGATTATCTTTATTTGTTTTTTTTCTAACAGTTAATTTATTATATAATATATATTATATAATAATATATATTATATTATATAATATATAAATATATATATGTGTGTGTGTGTGTGTGTGTGTATATGCACACACACACTCACACTATGGGCCAAAAGTTTAATAATTAGTAAGTTTTATACCTTCTTTGGTTTAACTAACTCCTACTAAGCTAGGATACCAAAATTGTTTAACCTGTTAGTGCATGACATCCAATTTTTTAGAGAGACATTTACCAAAAATTACCATTAACAAGTGAAGTAAATTAAAGAAAAAAGGCTAAAACTCTAAGGAAAGTTTATGAAGTAATGAGTTAATTTCATTATTATTATTGAATATATGATAAAACTTTTCAAGAAGAGAAAGCCCCTTTAGTCCGAAGTGGGCAAAGTAAAATAATTTAGAAAAAGGCATGCATGCTTCAGTTTTTAGAGATTCTTTGAAGCCCAGTGGGTGTACTGTAACTTTTGCAAACTATACCATGGGTTTATCCAAACCTTGTAAGTGAAATTGGGTAGATGAACTATTTTGGAAGCCATCAATGGTTGTGTAGTCACAAGTCATTGTGACTAAGTGTTTGAACATACTGGCCTTGTACAAAATGCTGATCATGTCAGATTATGCACTCTTTCCCAGAAACTGTAACTAAGGTCTACTCAGCATGGTTGCAGTATAAACCACAGGGTGTTGAACAAACACAAAAATGCTTGAGCAGATGTTTGCATCTCAGATTGGCTAGCTGTTCTAATGGATGGCTGTTCTTGTAAAGGAGTAGTCATGTATTATAAATGATTAAATTATGATTACAAATCAAAAATCATATATAAGTAGAAATGATAAGTAAAAATGTAACATTTGTAACTGCAAAAAAAAAAAAAATGGAAAGTCTTTCTTTTGGCATTGCTATTATTGTATAATTCCTTTACAATTTTTATCATTTTAAAAAGCTATTTAAAAAAATTTTATTATTTTAAAAACTTATTTATTATTTTAAAAAGTTATTTTTAGAATTTTAATAAAACTCAAACATATGAAATTGGATTTATGCATTTTTTTCTCAAGAATTAACGAGAATATTAAAATTATTTATATTATTATTTATTTGACTAACTCCTTCTGCAATCCTCTACCTTTAGAAGAGCCAGATCAGGCTGAAAATGGCGTACTTGTAGGCGATGAATTATTTTTCACCCTTCAATCCCTTTCTCATGGACAAAATGTCTCCCATTTCTCTATGCCTATTTCCATGGAAAGTGTACAGATGAACTATATTCCTTAGTGCCACCAGTTCTAACCTTTGCAGCTAAGACCAGCCATGTGGTGGGTGCACACTGTAGTAAACCACCCTCATCATTTCATATTCCATTAGTGAGATGTAAATTCTATTTGAAAGACTTTTTCTCACAAACTGCTGCTTTGTGGAACCGACTCCCAAAATGATGGTTCTCAGATCACTACAACCTTAACCTGTTCTTGTCTAGAGTTAACTGTTATCTTCCCCACATACCTCCATAAACTGTACCTCTGACTCTGTAACCCTCTACCTTGAGTGACTTTTGTGCCTTGTATGGGGGTGAACAAGAAAAAGGAAAGAATATAAAAATGTGCAAACCAACAATAATGCGATAAAGAAATAGCTATGAAAACAATTTATTTTTATTCATAAATTTATAAAAAATGTCTGTGAATAAGAAAATTTAAATAAACACATAAAAATGAGTAAGTGTAATTATAACTTTTGAAAAATGTATTTTCCATGTTTTCTTTTCATTTGTTCTCACCACAATTCACTAAAATAGTGAATATCTGGATTTTTTTTCTCAAGAATTGATAAAAAATACATTGATATTTATTTATTCGACTGTATAATTAAAAGAATAGTGCTTTTGTTGTTAATTTCTGAGAAAAAAAAGAGGATGCATCAAAATCCAGCTTCATGTATTTGTCTTTTATTAAAATTTTAAAAATAATTTTTAATAGAATAAAAAATTTTTGAGGGAGTGTAAATTAATATCAGTGGTAAGAGAAAAAAATGTTCTTTTGATAGTTTTTTTTGAAGGTATGTATGTTAAACATTGCTGTATGATATATAATTGATATAAAATGTCCAATGTAAGATGGAATATGTGAAAACCAGTTGGATGCCAAAAATTATTTTCTTGTTGATATTTCACTTCTTTTATGTGAGCATTATCAAAACATAACTGAAGAAAAAAAAAAAACAAGAAATGTTAACACAGAAACCTTGCTACATAAAAACATTGTGGTAATTTGAAAAATTTGAACAGTTTTTAAAATTTAGAAATATATCAACAAACAAATCAATGAGATTTGGACACAGAAAATAAGTAGAGATGAATGATCATTTGAATATTATTATTTTTTTATCCCTAAATAACTCTTTGCCAAATAAGATGTGTTATACAATGGTGTGTATTATATGACAGTAAATATTGTAAGAGATATTAAATAAAAATGCAATTATCTTGAAACTCTTGGGTTATAAAATTAGTCTTTTCATTTCTGTTTATTCAGTCAGTTTTAAATTACATAATATGGGTTTCTTTCTTTTTCTTTTTTTACTAAATGTTCTCCCAATACGAGGCTCAAGAGCCACTCAGGTAGAGGGTTACTAAATGAGGTTGTTGTATTTACATGGGAAAGGGGAGTAAGTGCAGATTATGAGAATAAACATGATAGGTAACGGTTGAACCTAGACTTGATTTAAATGCAATGCCAATCACTATCTTCCATCTTCTTGAACCTGTTCTTTTATTGTCCTTTCTCCTCACTAAAGTTTTCTTATTCTCTTTTCACTCCCACTAACCCATTGTGTTTTTGTTGCATTATCGCCTTGCTTGGGATGAAATGTTTTAAAAAATAAATAAATAAAAATAATAATAAATTTATTAAAACATTTTATATGAGTGCATTTAGGAGTAGAGATTTCGATTTTAAAGCAGGTTTGAAGGTAACTTACCCTTGGAGCATCAAGATGCCCATTTATATAACTCAGGTTGACATTATCATCCCAATATTCTTTATAATGCTTTGATACCCGATTAATATATTTCTTATGCATCCAGCAGATCAGCGGAATACCTGAAAGGCAAATAAACAAATGAATGAATAAAAACATTGAACAAAAACAACATGCATCTGAAAAAAAATTGTTTCAATTGCACAAAATGTTTAAAGTTTATATCCCTACTTCCATATATCTTTGTGTCAGAGTCAGTTTTACATTATAGTTACACATTTGGTAAATCAGTGAACAGTTAATCTAATCCAGGCATGTCAAACTCTGGGTATATAGAGGGTTGCATCAGCCATATCTGCAGCCTTGAGTGTTACGCCTGCTTACATTACATTAATCACAGCTAGTAGTAACTAAACTTTAAATACAAAATACTTACAATACAAGGTAGTGAAGAAAAATATACAGAAAAAATAAACAAAAATCTTAATATGCAATTATGCTGTATTAATGTTAATATAAAGTCAACGTCGGATGTTTCGGTCTATTTTAGACCATCTTCAGGACATTTTCATTAAACATAATTAACATTAGAACAAATGTTTAATGTTTAATGAAAATGTCCTGAAGATGGTCTAAAATAGACCAAAACGTCCGACGTTGACTTTATATTAACATTAATACAGCATAATTGCATATTAAGATTTTTGTTTGTTTTTTTCTGTATATTTTTCTTCATACTGTCGGATCTATATCCATATATTTGCTTAAATACAAGGTAGTACAATTTAATCATTTTTATGTTGTCTTGATGAGTGACATTGCTTTAGACAAACTATTCTCGATACATCAGGTTGGAATGTCTGTGTAGATCTCACTTTGATCAAAGATGACAAATGTTCATCAGTTAATCTGGTTCTGTGAGACTTTTTTGGGGCCTTCATAAATGAAAATAACTTCTCACAGACATATATGGAACCAAACATCGCCATAATCTTTATGGCAAACTTTTTGAAGTTCTTAAATGTTTGAGGAAGACATAAAAAAAATCCGGGTACTCCCAACTTCTAGGTACTTTCAACAAAAATTCTCAATATACCATGTCTATAGAAACCTTTGTGATGGCTGCCAAGATGCATGTAAAAGGCTGCATGCAGCCCGCAGGCCACCAGTTTGACACACCTGGTCTAATCCATCCACTGCCTATGATAAAATACCTTTCTTGAGCCCAATACTTGTTAGTGTTAATTACATCATGGATAATCACTCTCTAGTGGGATTATCTCTAGAATGGGTCTATTTATTTTGATAAACTTTTGACTAATATCAACTCCTCTAATTTTATCGTCAAAATAGTCATTCAGTCATATTGTATAAATTAACAACAAAACTGATTACTCATTTAATGTTCTAATTAGTTTTACTTTTATGATATTTGATATTTCAAAAAATGCTCAAAATTGCTAACCAAGGAAAACAGCTAAGCAAAGTCATCATCCTATGATCATTTGGTCTGGTGTTCCTACTATATATCTTGAGATTCTCGACAACATTCAAAGAAGTGTCTGTAATATAATCAATCCTGTCTTCTCAACTTAAGTAACTTTTCCAGAAACTTGAGGTGGCTTCCCTCTATCTTTTCTAAAATATTTTCCTGGCAATTGTTCTGATGAGCTTTCCTTCTTGGTGCCTCAACTGCATGAATTTAAACATGCTACCAGATTGACAACTAGACCTCAATGTTCTAATGTTGAACCCGCTAGATGCAACTGTATGTTTTATTCTAGTAGTTTATTTTCTAGCACTTCTAGCTTGTGCCTGTGGAACACCCTTTTGATTTCTTGCTCTGCTGCTATCTACAATTTTCAAAAATTTAAATGCAATGCCAATCACCATCTTTTGACTTTCTGAAACCTGTTCCATTGTCCTTTCTCCACACTAAAATCTCCTTATTCTCTTTCACTATCAGTAACCCCTTGTGTCCTAGTGGCATTATTACCTTGTTTGAAGAGAAATGATTAAAAAAATCCATCATGGAGAAATATGTGAAAGTATTTAATAACTAAGGAATTCACTTCTGTTGTCACTGCCAACTATTTAGGAACACAATGGGAATTTAGCAAAAAGAGGAGAATAGAGGATGCATAGGGTAGCAAGTTCCACTGTAATATTTTGTAAAAAGAAATTTAAATGTAGAAATTCCTTTTTTAACTGTTAATTTCATAGAACAAAAAAATGTTCAAATAAAATTAATGTCAGTGATGCTTCATCTTACAAATATTCATTCTGTGAGATGAGAATTGTGTGTGTGTGTGTGTGTTCATGTGCATGCATTACTTTATATCTCTCAATTTTTCTATACTTCTAAAATCTGTATTTTCACAGATCTTCCAAGTGGACAAATGGTACAATTTCAAAGTGAAACAAACAAAAAAAAAATAAAATAAAGCAAACAACAAAAGTTGAAGTGGAAAAGAAAAATGATTTCTTTTTGTTGTTATTGTTTTTTGTATTTTTTTAGTCTCAGGATTATAGCTTTCATTTCTTTTTCACTGATTGTGAATTCACAGAAAATTTATTTTACTGAGGATCTGAAAACAAAAATGGCTCCTTATATACTTTTATATATGAAAAGAAAATTTTAATCTTTAAAAAAATCTGATTTATAATTCATTTGTCTATTCCTGCACAAACATTGTGTCATAGTACTGCAAACATACCAAGTGGTTCAACTGCAGTTTCAGTAGCAATTTTTACAAAGCTGTGTTTTTAGCCAAACATGCAATTTGGACTATTGGGACCTCTTGTCCCAATAGTGCCACAACTTTTGTAGACAAGGTTGGTGTTGTTCACCTGTTTGCAGCAGGAGGAGTTAAAAATAAAAATATAAAATACACATTTGTGTGACTAGGTAAAAAAAAAAAAGTCTCTATTGTGGCTTGATTTGATACAGAATTTTAATCTGCAAAGATAGACTTTTAAACTCAATGTTACAATGTCACTATAAGTTTTCTTTCAACTCTTGTTACTTTATTGCTTGTGAATATTGTCAATAAAACCTTTTGTTATCACAATGTCTGTTTTGTTCTCCATTTACAGTCACATAATTTTTGTCAATTGATGACTGTTGTCTAGTTAGATTTCTTTGATCAATGACAAGTCTGCTGTCATTGTCATCAAATAGTACTATTTCAGTCCTACAACAGTTGTTACATTTGCATGTAATATTTATTATTAGGCAGGGGTGGTCTAAGTAAGCATGACATATTTAGGAAGGATATTAGAATAATCCAGAATCTATACTGGCAGAAAATCGCCTGCATATGGATAGAAAACAAATTCAGTAAATATATAAAAAATAGAAAGGGATGTAAGAAAAGGATGTGTCTTCTCACCTGTCTTATTCAACCTAAACAGTGAAGCAATTATGAGAGAATTATGGTCATGTAGCTGATATACATTCTATCTATATACATTCTGACCATGAAACCTGGGTTCGAATCTCACCATGGTTAATTTGTCAAGAATGAGACTTCCTGATGTTATCAAACTGGAGAGGTCAATCCCAGCATGCAGCACCTTTGGAAAGTGCCTGAAAACCATACCACAGGTTGACCCAAGCTTTGTGAGTGAAATTGGGTAGACAGAACCCTTAGGTGCTATTGATAGCTGTGCTAGCATGAAGTCACAAGTCATTGTGGTCGAGGGCTTGAGCGTGCTGGCCTTGTTCAAATTGTTGATCACACGATAATATGCTCTTTCACAGAAACTGTTACTAAGGTCTGCTCAGCATAGTTGCAGTATAAACCACAGGTGGGCTCTGTGTGTGTTGAATAAACACAAATGCATCTGAGCAAGTGTCTGCCATAGGGATTGGTTAGCCGCCCTAGTAGATAGGTATCCTCAAATACGAGTGTCCAGCTATGCATATGTGCATGCATATAAGAGAATTAGAAGCCCTACCCAGATTCATTATTGGCAACCACGATTTTAACAACATAAGATAGGCAGATAGCACAGTGTTACTTACCTGGCTCTTCTAAAGATGGAAATATTTATACGGCACATAAGATATGTAATGCTTTATTGGTTTAAAACAAAACAAAAAAAATAATGCTGGAGATGCAACTCAAAATATTCATGATATTTATAATACTTCAAATAAAAATACTGCCAAAGACATTTTGAAATGTTTAGAAAAGTGACTTCAGCTTTTCCTGGCATCAGTTTAAACTAACACATTTTTTTCCATAAATCTTTACTATGATTATAAACTGTAATTTTTGAATATGAAAAATTCACTGAAATATGAGACAAAGTTTTCATTTGAAATCAAGAAAATAGAAAATTTTTAAGCAATATATATGAGAATATAAGGAAAAAAGTTGGTGCCAACTTAAACTGATTTCAGAAGGACAGCAGTCAAAAGCTGGTCTACAAAAAGTACATTTTTAGGATTAGAATGCTGAGAATAATCAAGAACTTATACTGGCAGCAAACAGCATGCACATGTATAGAGAACAAGTTCAGTGAATATACAAAAATAGAAAGGAGCATAAGGCAAGTATATGCCTTCTCACTGGACCTATTCAATCTATATAGTGAGGCAATTCTGAGAGAACTGGAAATCCTACCGACATTCAGCAATAGTGGCCACAATCTTAACAACATAAGATATGCAGATGACACAGTACTGATAGCAGAGATGGAAAAGAATTTACAAAACCTCCTACTGACTGTAGTGAAGGAGAGCGAGAAGAAGGGACTAAGCATAAATTACAAGAAGACAGAATGCATGGCCATCAGTAAAAGGGTGAGCCCGAAATGCAATTTGGGGACACTAAAATCAAGCAGGTGCAGAAGTTTAAATATCTGGGAAGTGTTTTGACAGAGGATGGCAAGTGCAATACTGAGATCCGTAGATGTAGGTCAAGGACACATTTCAAATGCTGGACAGAGTATTGCGAGACAGGAGGATTTCTTTGGTAACAAAGAAAAGAGTACTAAGCTGTTATGTGACATCTGTCCTCCTTTATGGCAGTGAATGTTGGACAGTCTCCTTAAAGATGAATAAGAGACTTGAGGTGACAGAGATGTGGTTCTACAGAAGGACGCTGAGATATCA